GTAGATCGCGGACTGGTCCCAAGTCGATCGCGTGGGGTGTAGAGGAGAAAAAAAACAAACCACAATTCACCGAGGGCACGGGCAAAGAATAGGAATCTCGAGGGCCGAACTTTGCATGTCCTGCCCTTGCCTGTGTTGGTTTTCTCCAGGTACTCCAATTTCCTTCCACATTCCAAAAACATGCATGGCAGGTTAATGGAACACTCTAAATTGTCCCTAGGTGTGAGTGTGAGCACGGATGGTTGTTCATATCTGTGTGCCATGCGATTGGCTGGCAACCGGTTCAGGGTGTCCCCCACCTGCTGCTCTAAGACAGCTGGGATAGACTCCAGCACGCCTGCGACCCTCGTGACTATAAGCGGATCAGATCATGGATGCATCTATATTTATGTAGTGTGGATCTGTGTTTTTTTCCCTTTAGTAATATCCTCAAATGTCTGAAATGCTCTTCTTTTGATGCCACACATCAGCCTCTTTCCAATCAATGCCTGCTTGGAAGGGAGACTACACAGACAATCATCTATGAATCATGTACCAACACATAATAGTAGAACACTAAGGAATAAGTTTCTATGTTGTCTTACCTGTACAAACTGCTGAGCTGTTATGTTATGTGTTTTCAGGCTGGTACAATCGCCTCTACATCAACTTCACGCTGAGACGCCACATCTTCTTCTTTCTGCTGCAGACATATTTTCCTGCCACACTCATGGTCATGCTGTCATGGGTGTCCTTTTGGATTGACCGCCGGGCTGTGCCAGCGAGAGTTTCCCTGGGTAAAAGCAACATCCTTTTGAGTTGGAATCCTCAATAGGGTCAATCAAGAGCTTGCAAGCTAGCTGGTAACTAGTTTGTGGGTAGCTTGTCAAAGGGAATATATGTGTGTGGTCGTGTTTTCAATGTCAACTTAATTTGGGAGAATGACCAGTTCTACCCCTTAGCCCTCTCTTTACTCCTTAGTTATGCACGCTCATGTCTGGTGACCGGCAGTGGTGTTTTATGAGGAAGAAAAAAAAATTTTGGCCTGCAAGCATACGTGGGAACTTGCCCAACCAGTCTACATGTGTTTTGTGGACTTGGAGAAGGCATTTGACCGTGTCCCTCGGGGAGTTCTGTGGGGGGTGCTTCGGGAGTATGGGGTACCGAGCCCCCTGATACGGGCTGTTCGGTCCCTATACTGCCGATGTCAGAGTTTGGTTCGCATTGCCGGCAATAAGTCGGAATCGTTTCCAGTGAGGGTTGGACTCCGCCAAGGCTGTCCTTTGTCGCCAATTCTGTTCATCACCTTTATGGACAGAATTTCTAGGCACAGCCGAAGCGTTGAGGGGGTCCGTTTTGGGGTCCTCAGTATTGCATCTCTGCTTTTTGCGGATGATGTGGTACTGTTGGCAACTTCAAGCAGGGCTCTCCAACTCTCACTGGAGCGTTTCGCAGCCGAGTGTGAAGCGGTTGGGATGAGGATCAGCACCTCCAAATCTGAAACCATGGTCCTCAGTCGGAAAAGGGTGGAGTGCCCTCTCCGGGTCGGGGAGGAGATCTTGCCCCAAGTGGAGGAATTTAAGTATCTTGGGCTCTTGTTCACGAGTGAGGGCAGGAGGGAGCGAGAGATCGACAGGCGGATCGGTGCAGCGTCTGCTGTGATGCAGACGTTGTATCGGTCTGTCATGGTGAAGAAGGAGCTGAGCGAAAGGGCAAAGCTCTCAATTT